CGGCGGCGGCGGCGGCGGCGGCGGTGGCGGCGGGGCTGGCCCGGTGTCCCCGCAGCACCACGAGCTGACCTCGCTCTTTGAGTGCCCGGTCTGCTTTGACTATGTCCTGCCCCCCATCCTGCAGTGCCAGGCCGGGCACCTGGTGTGTAACCAATGCCGCCAGAAGTTGAGTTGCTGCCCGACGTGCAGGGGCGCCCTGACGCCCAGCATCAGGAACCTTGCTATGGAGAAGGTGGCCTCTGCAGTCCTGTTTCCCTGTAAGGTAAGCCCAGGTGCCACCTGTGCACCTATGCCTGGCGACCTCCCAGAACTCCTGTGTCCTCCAGCCCACTCGCCGGCGCTGAGAGTCAGGTGGCATCTCTTGTTAAGAAAAAAATGTTTACATTTTGTCCACCCTCCCCCATGCCCTACCTGTCCACTTTGGGAGTAGCTCTGGTCTAACAGTTGCCCCAGCACTGACCCCAAACTAATTAGCACGCGATGGTTGTTAGAACACATCACAGCTCTCCCCATCTAGTGCCTGCGTGCTCTACAGATGTGTACTTGGGTGGCTGGGCAGGGCTGCACAAGTAAAACTTGGACCAGGAAGCTGACTATGTATGGGGGATTAAGGAGGGAGGAAATGGGCGAGCTAAACGCACCCTTTACCAGCACTCTACTTAGCAGGATTGGTACCAGATGCCTCCTGCGCCCTGCACCTGCGGTGTGTGCGCCCCTGACACGTAGGAGCCCTCCGGAGTGTAGCCAAAAAAAAAAAAAAAAAGGCGGGGGGCGGGGGGCGGCCTATAGTTTGTTTTCTTGCTTCCAGCAAAAAGAAAGCTCTGCAAGTCACACCTTTTTCCCTCGCCTAATCTTCCAAGGACTGGAGAGTTGTGTTATTTTTTACCAAGTGGGGTGAAAACAAAAGTTGATTAGGAATTAACATGTAGAAAACGCAGAAGCTGTTGTTACAGTTCTGTAAAGCCCATCACTTAATTTTTTAAATTTAGTTTTAAAAGTTATCAGTGCTCTTACAAACAAATGCAAACCGCTAAGATAAATCAAGTGAAAGAGCAAGATCTTGCACCTCCTTTCTCACCATTGTTAAGTTTATACATTGTTAGTGTATATCTTTGTAGATTTTTTCTAACTACATATAAATATACTTCTGCAGCTGAATATAGAATTGTAGATATCAGTGTGTGTCAGGAAGGTTGATATATATGCACACGTAAGGCATAAATTTTTCTCCAAAAATGGCTTCTGCACCTTCTGTTTTAAATTGATTATCACATATATTGTTCTATGGCTGAAACTTGGTTCTCCCTCATTGTACTGAATTTAAATGGCTGCATTCTACTGCATTATGTGGTCACATTATAACATCTGTTTACCTACATCTGTCGGTCGCTTAGTCTTAAGGAGCACTTTCGGAGACATACCTGTCCATATTACTTCATTATAACCTGGAGCTATACTATAAAGTTCATTTTCTAAGCTTAGAAATGGAAATAATGTTATTAATACTTTTGAGTTTTTTGTAAAAGTAAATGCTCTGCCTCTTGAGCCATTTCAGCTGTCTTGCATTTCTCCTTGGTGCTGCTTATTTTTATAGGGCAAGAGCTTATTTTTAAATTAAAAATAATCCACCCGAGAATTGAAGCTTGGGACTCAAGTCAGTAAAATGAGTGATTTAATTTGGTCTCTGCTCTGCTACAGATGAAGTTTAAAATAGCGTATTCAAATAAGGGTTTAAATTTGTGTTTGGACTATGGGCTTTCTTTCAGCCTTAATAAAATACACTGCTTTCAACCACTCATATAATGCTTACGAATTCACCCAGTCCAAAAGTTGTTTCTCATAACACTTAGACAAAATATTTCTATAATTTTCTTAGGATCATGAAGAAGGTGGTAGCCTTGTGATCAAGAGAAGATTTGGTGATAGTGGACATAAGAGTGGATATATGATGTGTGAGATATACAATGAGGACTTGGGTTGCCCCACAGGATTTCTGGGGAGCCATATTCTCAGCCTTCACTTTCTCCCAATCTTTCAGTGGCCAGTAGAAGAAATGGCTTTAGGTGAATTAATTCACAAATGAGCATTTGATATCAGTCAGTCTTCGATAATTTACTTCGGGAAAGCAATAGTATAAGAGAATTGTTTGCTCCCAAGTGAAAGGGAAAGAAACAGTTACAACATGCTGTATGAAGTGTGATGTTTCACTTTTGGGATGTAGGATTCTGGTTTCTATTGAAGTGCATGTTCTTTCTACTATGTATCATGCTAGTGAAGTCTTTCTTGAAGAGTAGTTTGGGAATCAGGAGTACTCAGCCTTTCTCTACATGTCAGTGATTTTCTAAGTTCCTATTCTATAAGAATGCATTTGGGCAAAGCCATCACTTTGCAAACTGAAATCTAACAGGGTCAACCATTCCCCTATAGACCAGGAACCAAGCTTAGAAAGTGATCGTGGGGTCATTTTTGTGTGTTTGCATGTGTGTGAGATCTTAAAACTGGAGTTATCATGCCTCAACTTTGGTTGACCAATAATCCAAACTTGACAGGCCAGATAGTTTCAATAAACTGAACTTGAATGTATGTAGAGGCCTAGCAAGCAACCAAGATATGTAAGTTATGGAAGATGAGAGCAGTGGGGAGTGGTAAGGCCTATGTCAAACTTCAACAAAATAATCTGTGTACCTAGCCCTTTGGCTTGCACTTGCTGCTGGAAGTCATAGGGACTGTCTTGTCACTGCCCTACCTGTTCTCAGAATCTCTCTCATGGGCTGGCTCAAATGAGAAAACCAACATTTAGTGAAGTACCGGAGACCAAATCTCAAGAGTTGCCTGGAGCTGCCATTGTTTGCCTGAGCAACCACTTCTGGGGGCCTTGATTCCCTCATCTGTATATTAGAGGATTGGACTGCTCCATTTCTAAGGACCTATAGCTTCTAGCATTCCATGAAACAAAGAGAGGTTATATGGAATACTTTTGGGGTTCCTTCTGTGCACCAGTTACTTTGTATGGGTCAGCTTTTATTAGTTTGCCTTTCTTTTTTTCAGATGAGGAAACTCATGCCTATAGAGGTTAAGCGTTTGTTAAGTGACTTGTAAAGATCACTCAGTTAATAAATGGGCCAGGCCATGTACCTGCATCCCAAAGGCACACATCCTTTGTACTACTCACTACATAGGAATTTTGAATCTGAGCTTATACTCCAAGGCTCCAAATCACAACTCAGTAACAAAACTATCTGGTTGGATGAGTTCACCAAATGGGCCTCTGGTGGGAACATCGCAACAAGACAACATACATGCTCACTATAAAATTCATTGGCAGGAATTTTGTAGGGTATGTGGGGTAGTAATATCCAGGAGAAAAATAACCTACGAAGCTAATATTTGGGGGGATTTCATTACAGCTCTGAACTGTTCATGTTTCAGTTGGCCCCAAAGTGGATGTGTTGCCAAATAGCCTCCTTACATAGGTGTGAGGCCTCTTACCTGAAGGCTAGAGAACTACCAGCACCTTTGATAGAGGGCACTGCAGGCATTATTAGCTCAGGTCTCCTTTTTAAAAGAGGATCTCTATCAGAGTATGTCTCTCTTCCACTTGTGGTATTTTTAGTCCATTCTATGGCTTGTTTCATGCCTGAGAAGTTTTGACATCCTGTTCCCAGTATCTCAAACCCACCACCTCGGTGGAGAGTGGGTGTAGGAGGAGAAGTGAAGATTGACACATTTGTGCCCCCACTCAGCATTTTAGTATCAACCAGTATTACTGTCCACAACTGTGGGAAATGGTAAACCATTCCACCCCACTTAACACTATGATACATTTTCTTTCCATTTTTTCTTTGTTTCCTCTAAAAGTTTCTAGGAGCGTATCTTCAAATAATTATTGAACTGGAAAGCTTCAGTCAGACATGTCTTTCTTGCAGTAGAATTGTGACAGTGTTGCTTTTGTTCCTTAAAAAAGAAGTCAAGTTAGGTGACCCAGTTGAAAGTTTAAAGGGCCCAGTGTGGATTCACCCAGTCCAGTGGCAACAAATTCTAAATACCAGCAGGCATAGATAATGCACAGGGGAGAGGCATCTGACCCTTCGCTCCAGGGTTCAGGAGGCCTCAAGGAGCAGTGGAGACATTTGGGAGCTGGAGAACACTTGCCACCTTCAGAGAGGGCAATTTTTACTCAGCACTGAGTGATTGGTAGGGGCGGGAATGTATGTGCAACCATGCCAGACCTTTGGATTTTTTCAAGAAAGCCAGAAATCTGGAGGTGTTTTGTTTTTGCTTTGTTTTTTTTTTAGTGTTAAAATCTCAATTTTTTTTTTTTAAACATTGCCCAAATTCAGATTTAAAACCAGCACTTTCAGGCCAAACCAACCATGTCTGCAGACCAAATTCCAACTGCTAGTGTATAAACTCTGATCTGGTTCTCTTTTAGAAAGCATTCATTGAGCCTGGAAATTCTCCATTAACTCTTACCTACTTGAACTTTGGTTCTCTGTAGGTCCCAAAGTATGTGATTTTATAGTTATTTTTTTTTTATCTTTATATAAAATTATAATCCCTGCACCTAGAAATAACCACTACACCATTTTTGCATTTGCCCTTGCAAACTCACCTCTACATCAGTGGAATTTTTCATTTAAAAAAAAAAAGCAGATAAGATAGAGAATCCACACACTGTTTCATAACCTGTTTTTACATCTAACACATCATGACTGCTTCTCCACATTAGTAAATAGTCTTTAAGGTCATGTTTAATGTCTATCTAGTATTGCAATTCCATTGTAGTATCAGAGTTTTATAATCTGGCTCCTTTTTGTGGTCATGTAAGTCATTCTGGTTTTGTTTTTTTTTTTAAAAGTACTACTATTAACGGAATCCTTGTATATAAGAAAATAATTAGTTCCTAATGATAAATTCCTAGAAGTTGAAGGGTAGGGCCAGAGGGTATAAGCAGAAATCAAAAGCTTTTGATAGCAGAGCCAAATTACTTTCTCACTTGGAGCTGTTTACAGAGGAATGCCCATTTCCCTCAGGCATCACCAACACTAGGTGTTAGCCTTTTGGTTTTCTTAATGCTAGCTGCCTGCTTTTTCTCTCTGATATACCTTCAGGCCAGAGTTGGCTCCTCCTGATTACCCACTAACTTTTCATCTTACCAAACCTTGCCATGCAACCCCCTGCAGCTCCAAGCCCTCCCCATCCTACAGCCCATTTGCCTGGCCAGCTGTGGCCTCCCCTCTCACCTCATCTGACAGTGGAGAT